GGCAGGTCTTGAACCCACAGGCTCAGGCAATCCACTCACCTCAGCCTCCCAAAGGTGCGGAATTACAGGCTGAGCCACTGAGCCCGGCTAGTTTTCAGTCTTTTCGAGCTACTTCCTGCCTTCTCCATGCCCTCTCCTCAGGCTGTTGGGTGTCTGTGGGTGAAGAGGGTTTAGAACCAAAGCATGATTCCTTCACCTGCCTTCTTGATTTTCTAGGCTTCCATCTTTTACTTATTTACTTTTTTTGAGTTGGGAGTCTCACTCTGTTGCCCAGGCTAGAGTGCAGTGGCATGACCACGGCAGCCTCAACATCCCGGACTCAGGTGATCCTCCTGCCTTACCCTCCAGCTGGAACTACAGGTGCACGCCACCACACCCACTAATTTTTTTTTTTTAAATAGAGATGAGGTCTTGCTATGCTGCCCAAGCTGGTCTCAAACTTTTGGGCTCAAGCAATCCTCCTGCCTTGGCCTTCCAAAGGGCTGAGATTACAGGCGTGAGCCACTGCGCACGATCCACCATCTCCCATCTGGGTTGCCCGTTAAGCCAGGAAACTCCTTGCTGCTGGCTCAGGTCTTTGGGTCCTGGGGACGAGTAGGCTGGAGTTGGGTCCCACATTCTCCCTCACAGTCCAGGGGAGAAGGAGCAGGTGAGACAGAGCCGGGCCTGCGGCAGGAGTGATGACAACCACCACGCGTGTGCAGTCTCAGCAGCCTTGGGTGGGGCGAGGTCACTCCCCGCTGCCCTGTACCCAAGCCCGCTCCATTCTTCTCTTGGCCCTTGTTTTGAAGGGTGACCGGGAGGACTTTAGAGATGAATCTTTTTTTTTTTTTTTGAGTTGGAGTCTCACTCCATCGCCCAGGCTGGAGTGCAGTGGCACGCTCATGGCCACTGCAGCCTCGGCCTGCTGGGCTCCGGCGATCCTTCTGCCTCAGCCTTCCAGGTAGCCGGAACTACAGATGCGTGCTACCATGCCCAGCTAATTTTTTTTGATTCATTGTAGAGACGAGGTCTTGCCAAGTTGCTCAGGCTGGTCTCGAACCCGTGGGCTCAGGCAGTCCTCTCACCTCGGCCTCCCAAAGTGCTGGGAGTATAGGCGTGAGCCACCGCGCCCGGCCTAGAGCTGAATTTTAAGAGGGACATTTGAGATTCGCTGTGGCCAAATATCTCTCCTTCCCCTGTTTTCTGGAGGGTCAATCCCCACTAATCCTGTGCAGTCTGAGAGGCCCGTTCCCGGCTTAGTCAGTGCAATAGAACAGGACGATTCTACTCGGCAGGCTCGGCGTGAGACCTTCAGCCAGGATCCGGGCTCTTCGAGCTGCTGGGGACTTCGGGAAAGTTGACCCCTCAGGGGGTCAACCAGCAAGCAGCACAAGGAGCAGGGCCCAACCTGCTGTAGCTGGGCTTCCCACACCGCAGGGGCACGAGAGTTACCTGGTCATCTAGCTGAAGTGCAAACTCTGGCTCAGTGGGCCTGGCAAGAGCCTGAGATTCCGCATTTCTTTCTTTTCTTCTTTCTTTCTGTCTTTCTTTCTCTTTTTTTGTTTTTGAGTTGGAGTCTCACTTGGTCGTCCAGACTGGAGTGCACTGGCCGCTCCCAGCCACCGCAGCCTCGACCTGCTGGGCTCCGGCGATCCTTCTGCCTCAGCCTTCCACGTAGCTGGAATTACAGGCGCGCGCTACCACGCCCGGCTAATTTTTTGATTTTATTGTAGAGATGAGGTCTCGCCTGCCCAGACGGGTCTCGAACCCACGGGCTCAGGCAATCCACTCACCTCAGTCTCCCGAAGCTCGGGATTACAGGCTGAGCCACTGAGCCCAGCTGGCTAATGACTTTTAAAATTATTTTTATTTATTTTATTTTTAAAAATTCCAATTTAAGCCTTTCTGCACTAGAACCAGTGATTTTATTTTAAAAAATATATATATATGTATATATATATACACACAAAAGCAATGTGGCCACATGTGGTGGCTCATGCCTGTAATCCCAGCACATTAGGCCAGAGCTGGAGGATTGCTTGAGCCCAGAAGTTCGAGACCAGGCTGGGAAGCATAGTGAGACCTCGTCTCCACAAAAAATAAAGAATCTCGGCTGGACATGGTGATATGTGCCTGTAGTCCCAGTACTCAGGAGGCTGAGGTGGGAGGATCGCTGGAGCTAAGGAGTTTAAGTTTACAGTAAACACTGTACTCCAGCCTGGGTGACAGAGCGAGACTTGTCTTACAGAGAAAAAAAAAAGAAGAAAGAAACGCTATGCAAAATAAAATAAAAACACATTAAAAATATCAGCCCTTGGTTTTTATTACTGTTATTAGATTCAGACAAGATATTACTCCATCCATTGCTCTAAGGGTTTGTCAGTGTTACAGTTGTTTTTGTAGCTCGCCTGCTTGGGATTGGTAGTGGACAGTTCATGCCCAGCTCTGGACTGCCGAGCCCACCCTGCTCTGAGGACCCCGCTAGGTGGATCTGGGGCCAAGGGAGCTGGGCAGACCTTTTGGCAACTTAAGGGAACCCGGGAGGGAGAGGGCCAGTGACCGGCCTCCCATTCCAGGCAGAAACCATTGTCTACGTGATCGTGAGATGCAAGCTGGATGATCGGGTGAGGACGGAAGCTGAGTTTTCCCCGGAGGACTCCCCCTCGATGCGGGTAGAAGCCAGGCTGGAGAATGAGTACACCGTCTCCGTGAGGGCTCCCAGTAAGTGGCCCCTGTGCACGTGGCAATGCAGTGACTTCGTTGCTTCTGGGCGACACCATCACCAACACCAGGCGGCATGTGTTCAAGATTTTTGCAAATGTGCTATTTTTTGGAGGGAGGGGGGAAACTCCTTGTGTGAGGAGGGATAAGTCCCTCAAAATCCTTGAGGGCCACATTCTTCCCCTAGAAACTGAAAGAGCAGAATGGGACCGATAGTGCTCAGTCAGGTTTGTCAAAACCACCACGGTCAGAATCATGTGAATATACTTGACACTACTGAACTGTATACCTGAAAATGGCTCAGATGGTCAATTTTAATGTTTTTTTAAAAACATCACAATTGTTTTTTAAAACCCAAACCAATAATCTTCCCATGGAGCATCTTGAATTTTTTTTTTTTTTTGAGTTGGAGTCTCACTGTCGTCCAGGCTAGAGTGCAGTGGCACGCTCATGGCTACTGCAGCCTCGACCCTCTGGGCTCAGGTGATCCTTCCTCCTCAGCCTCCCAAGTAGCTGGGACTACAGGTGTGTGCCATCACGCCCGGCTAATTTTTTGATTTATTGTAGAGATGAGGTCTCGCCAGGTTGCCCAAGCTGATCTTGAGCTCCTGGGCTCAGGCAGTCCTCTCACCTCCGCCTCCCAAAGTGCTAGGATTACAGGCGTGAGCCACCGCACCTGGCCTGTTAAAAATATTTAACATGTCTAAGCTTCACTCCTATAAACTAATTCCGTGGATCTCATGTAGGAGCCAGGCACCTGCATCCTTAAAAGGCTGATTCTGCTTGAGGCTGAGGAATGCGCCATGTGGTTTTAAATGTCGTCCATTGTTTTAATGTGCGTTTCTCTGATTACTAGTGAAGCTGAATATTTTTCCACGTTTGCTATTTCTTACATTTCCCCTTTTGTAAATTGAATCTCTGTGGTTGGTGTATTTTAAATTTTTCTTTCCCCTTTGAAACCCCTTCCTGTGGTACAGAATCCCGCCCCAGAGCGTCACATAGACAGCTGCAGAGCAAGGGAACCCATTCAACTGACCCAGGCGGCAGACACGCGGGTTCCCCTCCTGGGATCCCCCCACCTCCCCCAACCGCTGGCCTTTGTATAAGGGGCCCTAAGCCCCACTTTTCTTCCTGCTCGTGGAGGCTCTGGGCCTAGGAGTGAGTTAAGAGATGAGAACCAGCCGGGCTCGGTGGCTCAGCCTGTAATCCCGCGCCTTTGGGAGGCT